TATATATATATATACATTATTTTTTACAGCTTTCAGCTCTGTATGATGTCAAACCACCAATTTCAAAAGCTAAAATGAATTCTTTAACTAGGGGTGCAATTAAGGCAATTAAATTCTATAAACATGTTGTGCAAAGTGTTGAGAAATTCATTCAGAAAGTAAGTTATAAAAAAATAACGAAAGAATCTAAATATACAGTAAATATATTAATTCCATTGGTATTAATTATTAATTTATGTTACAGTGTAAACCAGAGTACAAAGTGCCTGGATTGTACGTTATAGATTCAATCGTACGTCAGTCCAGACACCAATTTGGAGTAGAGAAAGATGTATTTGCTCCACGCTTTGCCAAGAACATGCAAACTACTTTCTTAAATCTTTTGAAGTGTCCTCAAGAAGACAAAAGTAAAGTAATAAGAGTTTTAAATCTTTGGCAAAAAAATGCAGTTTTTCCTTCAGAGGTTATACAACCTTTATTTGATCTTGCTGATCCAAATCATCCAATACATAAAGAACAAGCAGTTAATACCAATGGTAAAGAAATATATATGTACACACACGCGCGCGCGCGCGCATAGAATTTAAATGAAATTAAATAATAAATATTTGTTATTATGTTTAGGTACATTAAATATATCTACAACAAATAATGTTAGCAACACCGCAACTTCTGTCAAGACTCCTCCTTTGACTGCAAAGAATGCAGTAAAGGATCAAAAATTATTTTCTTCCGCAAAGCCAATTGATCCTGCTTGGCTTGCACAAACAAAAATAGAGACAGCTAATAAACTATTAGTAAATTTCCTTTTCGTATTTATCTTATATATAATTTTCAAACATATTAGTTTGTAATATATTTTGTTATGTTTATAATATGTTGTATATGTATTTGTTAATGGACACAATCTTAGTTTTATCATTCTTTTTAGGGGCAATCAAATTCAAGTCAAATGGATGTTTCTTTCCTTGATCAATTACAACATTTGCAACAGTTACTGCTGAAAAAGCAAGAACCTACAAATGAACAAAAGAGTTCTGTAAAATTTGATAAAAAACTCTTAGATTTTGACTATGGTGAAGAAGAAGATGATGATGTTGTTGTTGCTGCTAATTCACCAACAGCAACAACAGCATCTAATTCTGGTCAACATAATACAGTTTCAACAGGAAATAGTTTGGAAAGTCTTGGACTTCTTTTAACAAATCCAGAGGTACAAACTTATTGCTTAATCAAAGAAGAAATGTTTTCA